AGATGGAACCTAAAATATGGCAGGGTCCGCCACACTAGGCAATATATCAACAACGCTGTGGTTGGTGGTTCTGGCGATGTCACGTTTTCTTTGTTGCAAATCCCAGTGCGAAGAGCATCGAAGTATAAGCGACCGGGTTTGGATTTTTTTTGGGGGGTCAAATATTTATTTGCACGTTTTCGTTTTCTCTGGTTTCTTAGTCCGTTGTTGAATAATTTACTTTTATCCTCTGGGTGAGGGTTATCTTCCTTGGGGCCAGATTCACGAAGCAGTTACGCAAGCACTTACGAACCTGTACATCTTTTCTCAATCTTTGACGGCTTTGTTTATAATTATTAAACAGTTAATGAGCTCCGAAGGACCAGGAGGCTGTTTATAACAATGCCAACAGTTGATGGGGAAGTTTTTATGCTTGTAAACTGTTTAATAAATGTAACAAAAGCCGTCAAAGATTGAGGGAAGATGTACACGTTCGTAAGTACTTGCATAACTGCTTCGTGAATCTGGCCCCCTTGTCTTCCTATAGAGGCTAGCCCGAAGCATCTGGCCTCGGACCTCGAACTGAGAAACAGACACTCTCTCTCCTGTAGCTATAGATCAAATAAACGATACTCTTCGTGTAGAAATACGACAATATATACAGCTGATCATATTTTGCCTCGCCCACGCCTGCCTCGCCCACGCCCCACACTGTCACTATGACGGTGTGTTCACTCGCAGGATGAGTGACGGTGCCCAGTAAACACGCACTCTGGGGCAAGCACTAAAAAGGTCGGAGGAAGAGGTGGTACAGGCCGCTATATCCTCCAGGGATCAGTTAAATTACTAAGCTGATGTAAGGTACCGTTATTTGGCACGAGATAGATACACCCCCTCCTTGGAGACCCTCCACCCCTTCTTGGAGACCCTCCACCCCTCCTTGGAGACCCTCCACCCCTCCCTGTAGGACCTCCGTCCCTCCTTGGAGAGCCTCCACTCCTCCTTGGAGACCCTCCACCCCTCCCTCGAGACCCTCCGCCCCTCTCTGGAGTCCCTCCAGGGCCAGTATTGGGAGTCAGCTTTAAAACAGTAACGCCTGCCATTATACCAGCCCTCGTCTGGGGGACCATAGTCGTGGCCAGCTGGAGTAGTCTGCTGAAGGCTGGGGTAGTCTGTTGTAGGCTGGGGTAGTCTGCTGTAGGCTGGGGTAGTCTGCTGAAGGCTGGGGTAGGCTGCTGTATGTTGGGCTAGGCTGCTGTAGGCTGGGGTAGTCTGCTGAAGGCTGGGGTAGTCTGCTGAAGGCTGGGGTAGGCTGCTGTAGGTTGGGCTAGGCTGCTGTAGGCTGGGGTAGTCTGCTGTAGGCTGGGGTAGTCTGTTGTAGGCTGGGGTAGTCTGCTGTAGGCTGGGGTAGTCTGCTGTAGGCTGGGGTAGTCTGCTGTAGGCTGGGGTAGTCTGCTGAAGACTGGGATAGGCTGCTGTAGGCTGGGATAGGCTGCTGTAGGCTGGAGTAGGCTGCTGCAGGCTAAGTTGGGCTGGGATATTACAGGATGAAGCAGTCTCCGACGGGGGAACGTGCTGTGAACCACCTGAACAGCAGTCAACACCATTACGAACCAGCTGCTACATGGACACAAGACCATAATAATTTGGAAGCACGGTAGCTGACCTTTTGGCTAACATTAAGCGGATTACTTTACCCCCCCTCCAAACCCCCCCCCTCCCTTCCTTACCTATCACACCCCTTCCCCCTCTTACCCCATGTACCTATCCAATCTATCCTTAAACCTGTTAAAACTCTTCGTCTCAATAATCCTTCCAGGACACCTCTGTCACTCACCAATCCAGTAAATCCCTATATAGCCGTCCTAAACTATATTACAGCAGTTTGTAGACTTCGCTGAGGGCTACGAGCAGCCAGCTGTTGGTCTCCAAGTGTGTGCTGGGTCGAGATGACGGTGGCTGAGGTAAACTGTCGTCCAGCTGTGTGCTAGTAGGGACAACACACTGCAGGAACGTAGACGACAACAAGAGACCAGAAATGCTTCTACAAGACGAAACATAGTCACTAGTTTCTTCTACACACATCGAGTACAACACGTTGTTCAACGCATAAAGCAAACACGACGCATACAAACACACACACACAGACTCAACATACAGCACACAACATACAAAGTCCTCATACACAACGCATACAACATACATTCAAAGCGTTACACGATAAAGAATACTGGAAAGACGGGGACACCCCGAGCGTAGCTTGTCTTGTAACTACACTTAGGTAATTCACCATACAGCACACATAAACAGAACACAACACAATACACAACATAGAGAACACAGCACAACACACCACACACACACACACAATAAGTGTCGCACCAGACGCCCTCAACACACAGATGACAACACACCACACAGAGGACTGCCGCAGCACAGGTCGGCCGCGTCCACTGTAGCAACCTCACCTCACCACCCAAACATGTATTGATTTACCAGTATTATATTGACCCTCGGCCTCCAGTGATGGAGGAGGACCGGAAGCCTCGCGTTATAAGCACTTGTGTTCAAGCCAGCAAACTAGATCACTGTTACATCACTGAAAGTCGATTTCGATATGAAGTTGAATTGAGGAGGATCTTCACGTGCAGTGAAGGGTCATCAATCAAGCAACTAACTCCAGATGAGAATGATAAACGCTGAACTGTGTATGAAGCGAGACTACCAGAGGTACAGAGATGGAATGTGGCACTGTAGACCAGGCCACACACTAGAAGGTGAAGGGACGACGACGTTTCGGTCCGTCCTGGACCATTCTCAAGTCGATTGAGAATGGTCCAGGACGGACCGAAACGTCGTCATCCCTTCACTTTCACCTTCTAGTGTGTGGTCTGGTCAACATACTTTAGCTACGTTATTGTGACTCATCGCCTGAATGTGGCACTGTAGAGTCAGTCAGCATGTCACTGTGGATATTGGAAGATGCCGCACAGACCTTTAATGTACCTCTAGCGTAGATCTTTAATGATCACTATCGTGGTGAGAGTTGCCAAAGAGATGGAAGATACCAGTGTGGTGCAAAGACTTTCAAGAAAGGGAACAGTCAGTCGGTACTGCACTTGAGACCAGTGCCACCTTAACTTGTGATGATTTCGGGGCTTAGCGTCCCTGCGGCCCGGTCCTCGACCAGGCCTCCTCGTTGCTCGACTGGTCAACCAGACTGTTGGACGCGGCTGCTTGCAGCTTGACGTATGAATCACAGCCTGATTGATCAGGTATCCTTTGGAGGTGTTTATCAAGTTCTTTCTTGAACACTGCGAAACGTCGGCCAGTTATGCCTCCTATGTGTAGTAGAAGGGTGTTGAACAGTCTCGGGCCTCTGATGTTCTCTCTCAGAGTACCTATTGCACCTCTACTTTTCAACGGGGGTATTCTGCACATCCTGCCATGCCTTCTGGTCTCGTGTGATATTATTTCTGTGTGCAGGTTTGGGACCAGCCTCTCTAATATTTTCCACGTGTAAATTATTATGCATTTTTTTCCACCTGCGCTCAAGAGAATGCAGATTTAGGGACTTTGGTCGGTCCCAATAGTTTAGATGTTTTACTGAGTGGATTCTAGCAGTAAAGGATCTCTGCACGCTCTCCAGGTCAGCAATTTCTCCAGCTTTGAAAGGTGCTGTCACTGTGCAACAGTATTCCATTTTAGAGAGCACTAGCGTCTTGAAAAGTTTCATTTGCTTGAAAAGTATCATTTACACGTGACTGCTCACTTAGGCTACTTACCGGTATTCTCTCAGATATAACTGAATTAACTCGGGTCTTCCATTTCAGGTGCCGTAGGTTGAAGTCCCCAAGCAAGATGACGTTCGGGGCTGGATTTGTGAGGTTTTCTAAGCAGTGTTCTATTTTCATAAATTGGCGTTTAAACTGCTGAAGATTTGCCTCCTGTGACTTATATACAAGAACAATAATTGCCTTTAGGACCTCTATTTTGATTATCAGCACTTCCTTCATATCGTTTGTGGTGTTTAGCAGCTCAGTACAGATGAGTGTGTCTTTGATGTACAGGCTGATCCTACCCTGTTGCCTGTGTTTCCTGTCACATCTGAAAAGACTGAACTCCGAAATCCAAATTTCACCATCATTATAGTCCTTTGTGTGGGGGTTTCCGTTAGGCGCTGCAAACACTGCATTTGCCTCATGTAGGAGGCCAGCTACAAAATGAGCTTTGTTAGATTTGCGTGCTTTTATACCCCTGGAAGTTAGAATAAAAAAATGATGTTATCGTGTTAGTGGAAGTGCTGGATGCTTTACTTGGTGTTAATATCTGAGGCTCTGGTAGGGTGGCCACTGTGTTTGCGTCCTCTCTAGCATTTGACCGATAACAGTGGTAGAGTCTGGACATTTTTAGCCATTCTTCTTCTATTCCTCTTGCTAAAAAAAATCCTCCTGGTTAATAGAGTTGTGGCTGTTTTCATCGTAGCTACTGTCAGTTTTATTCCCCTGATACCTCTTATATGAAAAGCTGGACATTCTGTGTTGAAACATTCTTTCTTATTTAAAGAGTTCTTGCAAAGTTCTGGGTGGAAAAAAAAGAGCATACTCTGCATATTACTTGGAAGGATAATAAGGATAAGACTAGTGGAATAGTTAGACATAAGTAGATTTGTTAAAGAACATTAACAATAATTCAGATTGGGGAAGGGTTGGGAAGGGTTGGATGTATGGATGGGAAAGGTGGGACAGAATGGGGTGGAGTTAGAGAGGATGGGGAGTGGTGAAAGGTGTTAGAGAGTGGAGATGGAGAGAGGATGGGAAAGGATTAGGGAGGGAATGGGGGTGGGGGCTGGAGAAGAGGATTGGAAGTGGTGGAAAGGATTGGGAAGAAAAAAAAAAAACTTAATTCCCACACCAAACTTCACACTCTATCTGAACTGCATTGTATTTGTTACTTGTATTTCCGGTGTTCTATGGTAGTGTAGTTCGTGTGGTGTGAAGTAGACACGACACTGTACTCACATGTGGGTCTGCCTTGAGCTGGCGTGTGTGAGGAAGACTACGCTTGGAGCGGGCGTGAGGCAGGGCGTGCTGGACGAAGTGGTACTCCCCGGGGGACGCTGCCACCTGCCGGAGGAGGAGGAGAAACACAAGGTATTAGTCACTGGTGATATCACCCCCTTCAAGCGTAACACACAAATAACACATCACTACAGCACCCGCGGATAATATACAACAGCTTCGGTCACAAACGCTGTTTTATACATAAATATCTCCAACTAGAGGATGGTAGGAGATGACAATATGTGAGTGTACGCGGGTGGTTATCTTGAGGTTATCTTGAGATGTTGTTGTTGTTGTTAGAGATTCAGCTACTCGGAACAAGTTCCAAGTAGCACGGGCTATGGTGAGCCCGTAACTTACCTGACACAGGAGCGGGGCAAGAAGCACGGACTATGGTTAGCCTCGTGGACGGGAGATGTCTCCCCTATCTTGAGATGATTTCGCGGCTTTTTAGTGTCCCCGCGGCCCGGTCCTCGACCAGGCCTCCACCCCCAGCAAGCAGCCCGTGACAGCTGACTAACACCCAGGTACCGATTTTACTGCTAGGTAACAGGGGCATAGGGTGAAAGAAACTCTGCCTATTGTTTCTCGCCGGCGCCTGGGATCGAACCCAGGACCACAGGATCACAAGCCCAGCGTGCTGTCCGCTCGGCCGACCGCCTCCCTGGGTGTAAGGGTGACCAACAAGATTTCCCCGGATCTTGCACATCGTCTTCTTCGAGGTCGAGGGTCCCAACAAACGCAACCAGAGGTGGTACCCAATATATTATATTATTTATATTTTTAACAAAGCTCCAAGATAGAATGGTTATATAGCACTATAGAGGTCTCGGATGGTTCACAAGCTCCTATACGTCTCTCAGCACAACCATATACGTCTCTCAGCACAACCATACAGGAGCACAAGGAGAAAATTATCAAGGTGAAGAAATTTTTGTTCACAGGAGGATATAATAAGAGACAATTAGTACTTACCTAATTGTGCTTGCGGGGGTTGAGCTCTGGCTCTTTGGTCCCGCCTCTCAACTGTCAATCAACTGGTGTACAGATTCCTGAGTCTACTGGTGCAGAGGTGCAATAGGTACACTGAGGGAGAACTATCAACATCAGAGGCTCGAGACTGTTCAACACTCGCCCACTACACACAAGAGGTATAACTAGCAGGCTTCTCACAGTGTTCAAGAGAGAGCTTGACAAACACCTCCAAAGGATACCTGTTCAATCAGGCTATGATTCATACGTCAGGCTGCGAGCAGCCGCGTCCAACAGCCAGGTTGATCAGACGACCAACCAGGAGGCCTGGTCGGAGACCGGGCCGCGGGGCCTTTGATCACGGAATCTACACAAAGTAGGTAGATAGACCATTCAACCACCACTACTATCAATTCCCACATCCAACGCAATCACCACCACCATCAACTACCGTTATTATCATCCAACACCATCATCAATCACAGACATCATCATCTATTATCACCACCCCCAACCACCACTACAATCATCAATAACCACCACCCATAACCCCAGTTCACAACCACCACCCATAACCCCAGTCCACAACCACCACCCATAACCCCAGTCCACAACCACCACCCATAACCCCAATCCACCACCACCATCCACCAGTAGCAACCACCACCTACACGATCCATCAGAGAGGAGATGGTTGCACGAGGTAATTGATATGGAAGTCGTGCATGGCGGGAAGGGGAGTGGCAGGGGGGAAGGGATGGTACAGCTTAATGTGGGGTAATTGAAGGAGAAACGGGAAAGAGGAAGGAAGGGAAGGAAGGGGAGGGAGGAAAGGGAGAGAGAAAAGGGAGGGAAGAGTAACTGCCTTCATATTTCTTACCAAGACTCCTGTATTACCTTGTATTGTTTTGTCCGGGCCGGAGCTCCGGCGCTGGAACACAATAGAGCGGGCGGGCAGCTCTCATTGTTGGTCTCAGGTGCGCTCCTGTTGCCTGAGTGTTACTTTCTTGTTCCCTGCTTGACTCTGGTGTTCCTACTCCTCATTGTTCCTTCCGGGGTCCTTCGCCTGCGTCTGCTTCTCCAACGCACAGTACGTCTTCAGCTGCGTTCCGCAAGCCTTTCGCGCGCTGCCGCGCCTGCGGACGCCTGGCCCAGCCGGTGGGAGGGAGGAAGGGAGCCGAAACATTAATCATAGATCGTTCCACGCTAAGCCGCCTCCCGGTAGCCAGCCACTCAGGTAATTCAGGCAGTTGATCTCCCGCGTGGATGGTATTTTGCTCCACTCACCCTTTGTTCGCTCCTGTTCTTACCCTCTTCCCTCTTTATGTGTTCTTCTCCCCCATACTTCGTCTTCCTGCTCTCTTTCTTCCGCCCTGTTATTCTCTCCTGTCATCTATTTACCCACCTTTCGTCTGCTTGTCCTCTCCTTCCTTGCCACACCCGCCTTCGCATCCACCCTTCGTCCTCTTCCCCCCTTCCTTCTGTCTTTCTCCTTCATTCATCATTCCTGCCTCCCATTTTTTCTGTTCCTCAGGTCTTCTGTCCGTTCTTCCTCTCTCTCCCACCCCCATTCCCTTCTCTCCTCCACCGGAAAAGCTGATGTTTGCTGCCGATGCATGATGGACGCAATAAACAATGGGAGGAAGGCCTTCTGTTACTGTTGTTCCTCCTTTTTCTGTCGTTAACGGCCTCATTTGTCCGTCTGTCCCCTCGTTTTGTTTCATTTCCCTCGTTAAGCCCAGACCAGTTGGGAAAATATGGATGGAGGGCGGCACACACACACACACACACACACATACACACACACACACACACACACACACACACACGAACGAGATCCCTGAAGGTCAAGGGTGAAGTTGCCTGGTGGAACCCTGGCTGCCAATTAACTGGCAAGCACTTAGGTCTCCAGTGCTGCTCCAGACCCTCCAAGGACCATACCCGGGTCTCCAGTGCTGCTCTACACCCTCCAAGGAACACTCTACAAAGATGGGCCTCTACAGGGGTCTTGGTCAGGGGAATTCTATTCTGTTGCAGGTGGGAAAACCATCATATGAAGCCCCTATAAGGTCGACAATACAGCCTTGGATATGGGACACCGAAGACGTCTCTTGTGATTAAGAGATGGGTCATGGAGCGTGGGAATGGTTTTACAAGGTTTGAGAAATACGTCAAAGAGAAGAGGAAGGTGTTAAATCTCTGTGCATGTACTTGCATTATAAACATTACGTTTATTAAATGTTTAGACGAATGTTTAGAATGCTTTGCCAGTGCGCCATATTGATCTTTCAAGCGGCAGTGGTTTAAAAACACCATAAAAAGATTCTCTTGCACTCAATAAGTGGTTTTTCATATAATCTAAGCTTATGAGTCAAGTGTGCGGGGCTATTCCCCTCCCCCACTCGTCCCATCTCAAATCCTTATCCTGAGATATATATATATATATATATATATATATATATATATATATATATATATATATATATATATATATATATATATATATATATATTGGTGTATACTGGCAGCAGGTTTTCTTTTAAACATGTCTCATTGAATATGACCGCATATTCTGTATTTACTATCTTCTGATTTAAGGCTTCTATCCCTCTAACTGTTTTCCTAGCATCAGGGCTTAGCTGAAAGAGGAGTTCTCCAAAACTCATTTTCGTAATTTCAAGGTGAAGAAAAAAGTGAATTACTGTAGAATGTATTACACTTATTTATACAATTTGCACAACGTTTCGAACCTTCATGGTTCATTCTCAAGTGAAAAGAATTTTCAGAACTGGTTGATTTATACCCGCACTGGGTCAGGTGATAAGACAAGACACGCCTACATGCATGCACGCACGCACGCACACACACACACACACACACACACACACACACACACACCTAAATTGTTGCATAGCCACATTAGGAGAAAAACAACAGTAAAGGAACAGGTTATGAGATTAAGGATAGGGGCGGAAGGATTCACTACAAATGACAAGGAAGTGTGTGAGGAATTGAATAAGAAATTCCAGGAGGTCTTCACCTTAGAACAAGGAGAAATTCCAGAGGTAAGTGAGGGAATAGCTAACCAGGAACCACTGGAAGAGTTTGAGATTACCAGTGGGGAAGTAAGGAAGTGTTTACTAGAGTTGGACGTGACGAAGGCTATAGGCCCAGATGGAATCTCCCCTTGGGTTCTAAAGGAAGGAGCAAGAGAACTGAGCCTACCACTCTCCATAGTGTATAACAAATCACTGGCAACAGGGGAACTGCCAGATACTTGGAAAGCAGCTAACGTAGTCCCGATATACAAGAAAGGGGATAGACAGGAGGCACTGAACTACAGGCCAGTGTCCCTAACCTGCATACCATGCAAGCTGATGGAGAAGATTGTGCGAAAAAAACTAGTGGAGCATCTGGAGCGAAGGAACTTTGTAACACAGCATCAACATGGGTTCAGGGATGGCAGGTCCTGCCTCACAGGGTTACTTGAATTCTACGACCAGGCAACAAAAATAAGGCAAGAAAGAGAAGGGTGGGCAGACTGCATATTTTTGGATTGTCAGAAAGCCTTTGATACAGTGCCACACAAGAGGCTAGTGCGAAAGTTGGAGATGCAGGCTGGAGTGAGAGGGAAGGTACTCCGGTGGATAGAGGAATACCTAAGCAACAGGAGACAACGAGTCTGTGTGAGGGGTGAGGTCTCAGATTGGCGAGACGTCACAAGTGGAGTCCCGCAGGGGTCAGTCCTTGGACCTATACTGTTTCTGGTATATGTAAATGATCTCCCAGAGGGTATAGATTCGTTCCTCTCAATGTTTGCCGACGATGCAAAATTATGAGGAGGATTGAAACAGAGGATGATAGTAGGAGGCTACAAGATGACCTGGATAGACTGAGTGAATGGTCCAACAAATGGCTGTTGAAGTTCAACCCGAGTAAATGCAAAGTAATGAAACTAGGCAGTGGAAACAGGAGGCCAGGCACAGGATACAGAATAGGAGATGAAGTACTTAATGAAACAGACAGAGAGAAAGATCTAGGAGTTGATATCACACCAAACCTGTCTCCTGAAGCCCACATAAAGAGAATAA